AAGACAATGCTTCATTACCGATATATTGTACGTTACGATATTTGAATATTTTTTTTAAAAAAAAAACGTGAAAAAATTCAACGATTTTACAGTGTGAAAAGACTTTGCATTTTTATATAAAAAAATCAATTCTTTCTACCAAAATTTCGGTAAGAGATACAAGATTATATTTATTGAATTTGAATAATACAATAAGCAATGAACATAAAATTTTAGATGAAGGTAACTGGAATTATGCATGGCTGGCCAAAATTAGAGATTCTGCGTGACAAACCACGTGAGCTTTTCACTACCCGATGCCTCTTAACTAATAATATATCATAACCTGCGAATTTTTCCGCGTTTGACCGCAAAGCAACTACATCATTGGAAAAGGGTTATTCTGATGATTGGTTAGATATATATATGTCGCAATATTAAAATGACGCAGTTTTTGCACATGATTAAGAGATCATATGGCATCATAATTTCACCAAAAGTGGAATTGTTTTGTAAAAGAGATAATCAAATTTCCTTGATTGATTAAATGGTTTGACATATTCTGGACCAAAAACGGTCAAACCCGAAACTTTAATTTGGTATCAATTCATAAACAATAAATCTGGATTAGGTCAGGTATGAAACCTAACTAAAATGCGTTCGAGAGTTTTTCTTTTTTTTTTTCCTGATCCGTGGGTAAAAAAGAAAAACCATTATGATAATCATAGTTAGTAATCAATTTATCCGAGAAAATTGTTTTTTTTTAAAAATTGACATATGAATTTGCACAAATAAAGAGACGCGTTTTTTGTTTGTTTATAATTTATATATTCATATCTATATATGGAAAGTCCTTCTTTTATCAATTAAGCTAGATTTTGAACGGATGTGTACAAATATATATGTATTTAACGCACGCGCATTGATCCCAACCATCAGTGTGACGCGTGCCCAACAAAAAATGATGTCCGAACATCCCCGTAAAGACTCCGCGAATTCCGCTAGTGACAATTATGGATGACCCCGAATCATGAAACTATTTTTTTTAACAATAGGTAATGAGGAGGTGGGTTCATTACAACGTTTTTTTTAGGCTGAGAAAAGATTCAGCCAAAATCTTTGTTCCGAAAGTAACTACGATCATATTTGATTTCTAGAATTCTAGAATTCCAGAATGATATAAAAGGAAAATGACAATGAACCCTAGTATAGACGCGATTTACTCATTATGGACAGATTATTAATTTATCTTTTTTTTTTTTTTCTTTATTCTATTTTTGATTAGATTAAATCATGTAATTATATAAGGTTTAATCTACATTCGAAAAGATAAAATAAAATAAAGTGATTATCTCGAATCGGAAAAAAAGGGACCCCACAAACGGGTATTTTGTTAATTTCCCCGCATAAATAGAAAAAAAAAATTTTTTTTTTTGGAATAAAAAAAAAAATGAGATTTTCATATTTAGTGACGCGTAGACCAATCATCACCCAAATCGGGGAATGCGTACAATCCTATAATTTCGACCAGAATTAAGCCGGTAACAGGATTAAGGAAATTTCATTCTACCCACTTAAAAAGTTCCAAAATAAAAAAAACCTTCACAAGAAAAATCTAAACCTAATTCCCAATTAAAAATAAATTAAATAATTTCCCCAAAAGGTTAGGTGCTAGGTCCCCTTATGCGATGGCGGTATATTTACGTAGAAATTATTTAGGTTTACAAATATATAGAAGTTTAAACCGAAGTTATATGATCCATGAACTTTTCTTACTTTGTACTAGTTTTGAAAGTTCAAAAATTTTTGTGATTGTTCAATAAACTTTAGTAAAATTTGATTTATAATCAAAACCGGATCAATTAACTTTCCGATTTTTCAAGAGGGGTACACAATGAATTTTTTTTTTTTTTTTTTTTTTGTCCATTGTATTGTATTATTAAAATTTATTAAATTGAACTTTCTTTAAATCTGATCGTACAAAATAAAATTTTATCCATTGTCTTATTCAAAGTATACAAAGGGCGTTTTTTCAATACAACTGTGGATACTTTATTTATTTTTTTTCCCAAACTAACTTTTTTAAAAAAATATTTAAAGATTATTAATTTGTGAAAACATGTGAATATGCCGCCAAGTAGTTGACGTAACGTGTTAAATCTTTTTTATATATCTATTTTTTTTTTTCACCTGGGCGCAATCTCAATTTTTTTTTGAAATGCTTGAACAAACATTGCTATGCCAACATGCATAAAACATTGTCTTTCGATTAAGATTTGTTACTTATCAGGCTAAGAAGGAAGAAGTCCGAGAATTTTTTGGGGGGATTAACACTGATCAGACTTATAATGTTTGATACTTTCTCATTATAAAAATGAGAACAACTTTCTTTACAATTACGGAACTTCGATTTTGAATTTTCTTTTGTTATGCAGGATATGCAAAAGTAAGTCCGAAAAAAAAAAAAAAAAAAAGTTGACAAAGAACATCAATCACTAGTATAGACATCAAAGAATTCAAAATTTTTCGGATCTTCATTCAATGAATGATAAAGTTTTATCTTATCCATGTCATTATCACAATGGGTTGATCAACAACGGTCAACTTTATCAATTTTTTTAAAAAAACAAGGGTCGATTCGGATAGAACATTTTTCGGAGTTACGTTTATACGGTTTACGAGAAGTCTTTTCATCGAATTTTGCTTCGATTTCCTTTCTTAGAGAAGACCATTCCCTCCTTTCTTAAAAGGAAATAGAGTGAGTACTTACACAGCCATGTTATAAATGGAGAATGTCAATATTTAATGAATATCTTAAAATGCGAGTATCCGTCGATAACAAAGTTGTTTATTCATTTATTCATCGTGCAAAAATTTAAAAAATTTAACAAGGCATGAATTTATTTAAGTAAATGTTTAAGGGTAAGTGACCACTAATATGGAAATTACTATGAGTCAATCACAGTATTATATATTAATATTTGATGGTGTTATGTATGAAATAATAACAAATAAAAAAATCACCTAATTACAATGAACAACTATTGTATAATATGTAGTATATATGTGTATGATATTGGGTGGGGATATTGAAACTTGTCTGGCGGAAAAAGATCAATTCACAGATGAGGAAAAGGAAAGAAATACATTTAAACAAACAAAACGCCTAAAAATTGATTAATATTTGTTTGATGTCCAAATAAAATCCTGTACCCCTAACACCTGATTAAATCTATTAATAAAATGAAAAAACATTATATCTTCCCATGTACAAGAATGATTTATCCTTCAAGAGATCATTTAATTAAAACCAACATAAATTTTATTTTTGTACCAGTTAAGATGATTATCATATATGGCATTATTTCTTGTTGATTGCTTACAACGAATCTCGCTCACATTTTAAGAGAAAAACGCCATTTAAATTTTGCATGAGTAATTGTATTTGAAACTGTAAATTCAATATCGTATGGCTAAAATACGAGCATTTTTACCATTCCGTTTATTCCGTAATTACCCAAAAAGTAAGAATTTTTTTTATGTCAAAAACTAAAAACTGGTTTGTTTACGAGTTTTTTTTTTTTTTTTTTTCCTTCCAAAATTAAAACAACGTTAATATAAAAAAAAAATGGATATTTTACTATCTCGGATGTCGGCATGACGAAAATCTATTTTTGTAATACAACTCGGAATTTTTGATGTTTACAACATTGATTAATCGATTAAATACATTTTTAAAAGAAGAGATTTCCTAATTAGGAACTATCCGTTGTAAAGATAATGTACATAAAAAAAAACTTATAATTTCGAAACCATTTCTCCTCATTTTTTCATTCATTCATTTTTTTTTGTTTTTTTTTTTTTTTTTTTTTTTTGTTTTAGAAAAAATCAACCCGTAATTGTCATTATACAAATTGGTTGATTATAAAATAGAAAGTTTGCTCAATAAGAATCTCTTTGAACCTCTATTTTTATTTTATTTATTTTGATTTTTTTTATTTTTATTTTTTTTTTTTAAATCATTTATATATATATATTATCACTTTATATGTACACGCCATCCCACTCGAAAAAAAAAAATAATAAATTTTTAGTCATACACTTCTTAATTTAACCTTTTCACTTTCTTAAATTTTTTTTTTTCTTTTTTATAAAAATAAATCCTCAAAAAAAACCAGATTCTTCTTTGTTATACTAGTTATAAAAGGAAATCATATTATTATCTGAAAAGGGGTACAAATTTTTTTTTATACCCAAATATTGATTTCTCACGTGGTCCCAGAAAACTCAAGGTCCCATTCAACAACAAAAAATTTCTTTTTTTCTTCCTCCTCTTCTTTCTCCTCTCCTCCCCCTCTTCATCGAAAAGATGTGCTCAACGTTAAAGGTTCAAGACTCAACGAACTTGTTTGATTATACAATGTCAACAGCGTCCTCCACAAAGGAAACAAATAATGACATACAAATGACAAAAAATATAATAAGGTTTGCATTATTTTCAAAGTAACCAAATTTATTGATTTTAAAAACCTGTTTGTTCTTTCTTAGTAAAATCAGTTTATTTGTGCATTTTATTTACTTGTACCGAATATTTTACTCACAGCAACAGGCAAATTTCCTCAATAGGGAACATTGAAATTGAAAATACCACCAATTTCGAAATATTTAACGAACGAGTATATGACGATGATAAATCGTCATATCCATATAACTTTACTAATAATAATGTATATACTGACGTAACGGAATCTAACGCCAATGAAAAAATAAGATTAAAATTTATTAATTTAATCTCCACTTCCACTTCATCATCATCATCATCTCCTTCTAACTCCTCTCACCCTACAAAAATATCTACCACTTCTGATATAATAACCGATACTAATGAAAATCATAGACATAATATAAATATACGACATATAGCGACGACATCCCCAGTTATTATTAAAAAATTTTTCACTGCTGCCTCGGTTTGTCGGAAACGTATTAATAACGATTTTAAAATTTCCACTATTGAACCTATGGAAAATAGTAATTTTTCAAATTCTCGTTGTTCGCTACCAATTCTTAACAAGCCACAACTTAAAAATAATGGTACGTATGTAGTATGATAAATAAATCAATAAATAAATGGGCCTCGAACTTTTTTCGTTTTTACCCGCTATTTGTTTTTTTATTTATATTTTTTATTATTTTTATTATTATTTTTTGCTTTGGTGCTCGTTCCCTTCCCCTCACCCCCCCCCCGTTCTTTATTTTGATCGATAAGATTATAAACGACAATAAAATAAACTTTTTTTTTTCATCATCAATCAATTCGACGGTTTGTTTTCTCGTTAGTTTGATATAGCTGATTATGCAATATTATAATTCTGTCGCGCCTTTCTATTATATATTGCCCCTCCCTTAAATTTTATTTTCAACGTTTTCCTTTTTCCCTTTTCCTTTTATTCCCTTCTCCCATTTTTCCCATTCACGTTCTATCAAAAGGAAAGAAAAAAGAAAGAGAAAACGAAGGTGTCTTTTTTCCTTCAATTTGTATTTTTTGTTTTAATGTTTCTTGTGAACAAACAAACAAAGAATTTCCTTGTAAAAATACTTTTTTTTTTTTCTCGCCCCTACATTTTTTTCAATTCTTTATATTAAATTTTATTTTTTTTATTATTTATGTTCAAACAATATTTTTAACCCCTCATTTATTTTCATCTATACAATAAATTATTAGACGTTGATCGATGCAAAATAATATCTGATGATATAACTACGACAAAAAAACTTCTCTGTAAACGATCATCACAATCAAGGATCCAACGTTTAAAGCGTACTTTAAGTCTTACGAAAAATTTGGATAGAGAAGGGGAAGAAAGTATAATTTGCTGCAACACCTACGACAATATCATGAAAGGTTCTGATGCTATGATCCCCTTAAATAATTCATCAACAAAAGAAAATTGTCCCGTCCAATTCCTTCCTCGTTCTATTGTCCAGGATCCAAAGGAAATTGATGATTTTATGGATTTTATTAATAAAGGATTTTCACTTTCACCCTCCCCTTCACCTTCACCTTCACCTTCACCTTCCCCCTCCCCTTCACCTTCACCTCCCCCTTCACCCTCCCCTTCCTCTTCCTCGGCTTTACGACGTTTTAGTCGTTCAAAGATCGTAACAAAGAATAATGACAAAGCACAACAACAAAACAACAATTGCACTTGTAGTGATGGTACGAGGAAGCGCGTAAAATCAAATAATAACAATCGTTGTGCTACCTTTTTCTCACAATTATCTTCCTCATCAGTTTCTTCGACTGATGGTGATTCTTCCGCTGAAAGTTCGGCAAACTTTTCCAGCATCAACGTATGTGATACGAACGTTGTTGAATCACGTGATCAATTTGATCCCACGGCTGCGCCAAAAAACCGAAATTCCTTGGATGAACGTACGATTAATAATATAAGGCGTTCATGGTCTCATATTGAAGTACGACACTTCAAAGGATTGTTCAAGAGGAATCGCGATAATGATGTTAAACGAAGGAACTCTTATGCTCATACCACTTCAACGAGGGCTAATCAACAAATCGCCTCGGAATCCGAATTTAAAGTGTTGAATCTTGTTCACAATGTTGACAATGCTTCAAATGATGCTGATGAAAATTCAACTAGTTCAGATGAGGTTGATCATTCACCACCGAAAAAATTGCCTGTTGACTTGTATACTTTACAAGCTAACATGGAGAAAGAAACTGATGCTGTCACAAGGGCGCGTCAAATGAGGAAATTTATCATTAGTGAGATTTATTCGACCGAACAGAGTTACCTGGCTCATATGAGGACCCTCAAAAAGGTACATCCCGCGTAAGATCATTTTAGGTTTTTGATTTGTGACGCATCCTTATGCTTACAGCTTTCTCCCCCCCCCCCCTTTCACGATAGATCTTCATGGATCCTTGCATTCAAGCATCGTTGACACCTCATCCACTTATGATTAAAGATGATGTAGAAATCATTTTTGCTCATATAGATGAATTGATAAATCTTTCCGATACCATTGTAGAATCTTTTGAGATTTCAATGGACCCATGGGAAGATTATGATTCGATGATGGGTCAAGTGTTTCTGAAATATGGAAATAAGTTTGAGGTTTTCGAAAAATACGCTGAAAATATTCAGAGAAGTCGTCAATTACTTGCTAAAAAAGTCAATCAAAGCGTATTATATCGCAAATTCGTTTCGGTAATTATCTAGAACTTTTACCTTTATGTCATGCCAGATTTTTATGAATCGCTATTCACTTTCTTCTTTTTTATCTTATAAATTATAGTCTCAACGAAAAAAGGAAAACATTAAACTTAATCTTAATGATTATATGATAATGCCCATACAGCGCATTACCAGATATTCTTTGTTGCTTAAAGGTGAATATTTTTCCTCATCATACATTCATTTAATGATTTTCATCTTGCAGTATTAAATATTTTTTCTTTCTATTTATAATAGAATTGAAGAAACATACATCAGAATCGCATACCGATTATAAAGACATGTGTGAAGCTTTAGATAGCATGTTATCTTTAGCTTCTAGATGCAACAACAACATCCAATGAACATCTTATTATTTGGATAAAATTTATCAGGAATAAGATAAAAACAGAGAATTTGGAAGAGTGGAATGATGTTTATATTTACATATATATTTTTTCTTTAATTATATTTTTCAATTTATCGCTAAAAAAAAAAATATTTTTTTTTTTGTAAATATTTATATTTCTTGCTTTTTTCTTTTAAAAAAAAATTATTATACATTATTACTAAGCATATTATTATCCCAAAATATTAACTCTTATATAGCTTTTATAACCAAAAAAAAAAAAATTTAATTTTCTTTCTATGAAAAAGTATTATTTTATGATTTTACGATTATTTTTGCCTTTTTTTTTTTTTTTCTTTTTTTTTTCTTGAATTTAATGAATTTTAAATTGCATAATAAATTTTCGTTTTTTTTTTTTTTTTAATTTTGACCTCTCTCTAAAAAAAGACGTCATATTATCACAATTTACCGGTCATTTATTCATTTTATCACATAAAAATGCCCTAGTACAATGTATTATTTGTTATTTTGAAAATTCTACTGAAAATTTTTACCACTTTTTTTTATAATAATAAAATATTGATCTTTATTAAAATCGATTTATTTATTAGAAGTAATAATATTACATTGTAATAAAACTTTTAAGTAATAATTGTTATTAAAATTATTTCTATTATTTTCATTTATATTATTATTTTCTTTTAAATAAAAGAATTCTTTTTTTTGTAATAATTGCAAATAATCTTTTATTTAAACTTTTAATGTTTGTTTCTATTTCAAATGAAAAGGAATTAAAACAATAAATAGTTTTATTATAATAGAGTACTTTATATTCTTTATGACAATTATATTTACAAATTAAAATAATTCTATTAGATAATCTATATCATTTAATAATAAATAATACTATCAGACTTTTGTATTTTAACTTAAAAGAAATACATTTATATCTATTACTATATTAAAATTTGATAAATATTATTAAACATTGATATAAAAATAATAAACTTTTTTTTTTTCTAAAGATTTTATTTTATTAATTAAGATTTAGTTAATAATGAATAATTTTTCAAAAAAAGAAATTATTTTTTTTTTCAACATTAATGATTTTTACTTTTTAAAATATTTGTAATTTTACATTAAATTTTGCTATTTAATATTTTAAAAAATTATAAAAATTCTTAATCAATAGTTCATTATAATATTAATTATATTTTTTTAAAAATCTAATAAAATATATTACTTATATATTTAAATAGTATTTTATTCTTTCTTAATTTATGAAATAATATTCAAATTTTATAATTTTCTTAATAATAAACATTTAATATTTATCAAATATACAGTATTATTTAAGTTTTTATAAAAAGATTATATTATTTTAGATTTAATATTAGCCGTTTATAACTAAATAATATAATTATATTATTTAGTTATAAATGGCTAATATTAAATCTAAAATAATATAATCTAGATACAACTAAATAATCTAAATATAACTAAATAATCTAAATACAACTAAATAATTTAAATATAACTAAATAATCTAAGTATAACTAAATAATCTAAATATAACTAAATAATTTAAATATAACTAAATAATCTAAAGTTAATAATCTAATTATGATTAAATAATCTAATTAAATAACCTAATTGTGGTGATTTTTTATACCTATCTATTTTTTCTTATTATGTTTCTTATCTTTGAAATTGGATTAATGTTATGGGCGAAACTGAAACCTAATTTCTGGCGAAACTATCAAAACTTGATGAAACTAGTTTATCATTCATGCAAATTCTAAAACCTAACGAAATCTTCAAAACCTGACGAAACCTCTAAAATCTGACGAAATATCAGAAATCTGATGAATCTTTCAAAAATAACGAAACCTCTGAAATAATTATATTTAATTATATTAAATTTAATCACAATAATTGTAATATTTATTTAAAACTTTATTTATAAAATGAAAAAATTTTAATAGATATCAATTTACATTTAACTAATGTATCCAAAAAGTTATACTAATTACAAATAAGCTTCAACTGCTAATTTAGGATCCCAATCCTCATCAATTTCCTCTTGATTTATTTTATCATTATTGGCTTCCTCTTCCAAATTAATATCTGAATTTTCAATAAATTCATCAAGACCTTCTAAAAATTCTGGTGCATTAAGATCTAAAATATTATCTAAATAAATGTTATTTTTATCAGTATTATCATCATTTTCTAACACATTCACATCATTTATTTTATCATTTAATTCTTCTTCAAATTCGTCATCTTCATATAAATTAGTATTATACAAAATAGACTGTAATTCCTCACTTCCTTTTTCAACACTATAATGTAGTAACTCTTTTTTTATATTTGTAAGATAAAATGCCGCTAACTTTTGCATTTTTTTAATTTTTTCTAAACCAAGTCTAGTTCTACGCTTTTCATAAAACCAGCTAAGAGATGACCATATTCTCTTGCAAGAAGCAGTATGAGAAATAATTGAAAAGAGTTTAGTAGTAAGCTATGCAATATGATTTTGACCTTTTGGTAAAGAATCATCTATACAATACCACCATACCATAGGAGAATTATTGAATTCAAATTGTAAATTATATGATGGATCGCTTTTTTTATATGCAGCTAGTTATAACATTAATTCACCATGTTCTTTACCTGATTTTGCTATTTTATCATAAAATATATTAGCTGTTAAAAGAATATGACGAAATATATCTTGTATTTACACTTGACCTAAATAAAAATATAAAAATATTTAATATTATAAATATAAGAATTATTAAATTATTTTTTAAATATTTCATCTATTTACTATTAATACCCAAATGTAAAAAAAGTATAATAAATATGCATCATTATCAAATTTAATAAATCGTCAATTAAAAATTGCAATACAATTTTGTTAAAATTCTCAATGATCATTTTTTGGTAATTTTTTAATAGCTGCTTCTAATCGTGCTAATTCTATATAACAATCTGCTAAGGTGCTTGTTTATGATTCTAAAGTAGCAATACTCTTTTTAAGTGGATGCAAAGTAAAGCTAATATACGATAAAACTGGCAAAAATTGATGAACCTGTCAAATATGACATATATGTCAAATCTGCCAAATCTGTCAAATAGGACACACATAATATTTATTATATTTCTATTATTTATATTACTATCATTATTTATATCATATTTAACATAATTAATATATCTGTTAGCTCTGTTATTATTGTCAGTAGTATCATAAATATCATAGATTTTCTTTAATTATATTTTCCTATATAAAGGGCATAAAAATGCCTTAGAAAAAGGACAGATTTCAACGAGATTTCAACAAGTTCTTAATATTGTATTTAATATACATTTAATAACAATAATAAATACATTTAATATTTTGCAAACATAAAACTTATAATTTATTCTTATTAACTAAATAAACACTCTAATAAATAACATGTCAAGTTGATTAAATTTAAGTCATAGTTATTACCTCCCTGACTTCAAATCATAGTTAACTTATTTGACGGAAAGAGTAACATTAATAACGATAATTATTAAAAAATGCATAGTTTTGTAAAACACTTGATATTGCAGTAGAAAGCATTTCTGTATAATCTGAATGTATCTGAAATTATTATAATATTTTTAATTTAATAAAAAAATTTATTTTAATAATAAATTATTATTAATTAATATTTATAGTTTTTAAAGGAATCTGATGGCGTATTATAGATTCTACACAATCATAATTTGTATGCCATTTTGTATTAATCCATTTTTTTTAATCCTCTGCCTTCAACTTCTGATTCAATAGAAAGATCTTTAAGTGTTTGTCCTAAAAAATATATATTAAATATTAAGTAGGAAATAATTTATAATTGTTATTATATAATTATAAAATATTACCTGAAAAATACCTTGTTTTAAAATATTTAACCAATACCATACACTGACTTAAAATTTTATTAGCAAATGATGTTCTACATATATCTTTAGAAATAAAATTAATTGTGTGAGCAATACATCTTAGATTTAACATATATAGATATTTTTCAGTAATATGATGGTAAGCAAGCTTAATGTTAGCACTATCATCATTTACAATCGCAAAAAATTTATTTGCTCCAATTTTATCAATTACTTCTTCAATTTGTTCAGCTAGAAAATCTGATGTATGACAATGATCAGATAAATTCCTAAAAATCTAAAGATATTCTCAATAATCTGGAGTATATATTATAAAATTCCAGATTGATTCATTCATAGGATTTGACCATCCATCACATACTAATTATATAAAGAAAATTGTTAAAAATTATAATTTATAAAAATAAATAAGGAATAACTTACATAAAGAATATCTTACATAAGGTCAAATTTTTTTGATTTGTTAAATCTTGCGCTAACAGTCTTCTAGATAAAACTTCTCTACTAGGTAGTAAATATGATGATTTTAATGTTTTTAAAAATTCAATAAAGAAAGGGTTCTCTATAATATGCCATGGAATTTCACAGATAACAAATGCTTTAACTAAGCATGATTGGTTTGATCCTCCATACTTTCAAACTCAGTAATTTTTTTTTGTCTAGTACCATTATATCTTTTTCTTTTTTTATGTATATTTGTTTCAGTTGAATCTTGATTGATGGTTTTAACCGCTAATTGTTGTAAAAAAAATCTCTAACTGAAGGTTCAGCTTTCTGATACTCAAAAGCTAAATGTATTTCAATTTCTTGAGATGAACCTTTGGGCCAAATAATATGACATGAAAGGCATTCTGCATGCTAACGTGAAGGACTAATTTTGTTAAGCTTCTTTGCATATTTACTCCAACTAAACCAACCCAGCTTGTCTCCTTTATTTTTTGATATAGGTAGTATTTTATTTATAATATATCTATAGGTGAAGATTCTTCAACAAAAGACATTTTTTAAAAAAAAAAAAATACAAGAAAAACATTTGTTTCTCTCAAAAAAAAATACAAAAAACTTTTATTATTTTTTTTTTTTTTAAAAAGAAAAGAAAACACGAAAAAAGCTTTCTTTTTGTATTCCTTTCTTATGCATTTCATTTTTATCGCATAATTACATACAATCATAAGTGTTAAAGTTTAAATGAAATGTTAAAGTAACTTTAATATTTGGTATAAAAAATTAAATTGGCATTTATTTTGATTGGTTAACTATTTATATCACATGATCTGAGTTTCAGAAAGTTTTGCTAATATTAAAAAGTTCTGCCAATATCATTCAATTTCACCAATTTTATCTTAGTTTCAGCTTATCAGAAAGTTTCAGATTTTAGTCTTTAAAAGCTGAAACATTTCGACTTCAAAATTTTGGTTTCGCTCATAACTTTAAATCAGATTTCTTTTCCTATTTCATATTTATTATTTGTGATCATGTGATTTAAATAATCTAATTATGAGTATGACTAAATAATCTAAATGCACCTATTTTTATTATGTGCTGTGCGTTAATAATGCTTTTTAATATAATTTATACTAGTGAGGCTTCACAACTGATTGGTTACTAAGTAGATGATGGTTTGTTTTTCATTTTTAAACTTTTTGATTGCTAATCAAGCACATATTACTGTGCTATTTTTCTTAGTTACTAGTGTTAGGCCAGCCAGTTTGGATGCTAGTTCTATATTAAGAATTTGCGCCTATTTGGTTATCTTTCTAGATCCCAAAAATGTGGTAAAAAAATATTGTGTCAACGAATTCTGCTGTATATTCGAACACCATTAATGATCAGAGTACTTCAGAAAAAATTAGAAATATCGTTAATATTGTTAACGATCAAAATAAATCAGCAGAAGATCTGAGATCATCCTAAGTTACTTCTATTAAAGATAGGTCAAAACCTATCACAAAGCAATCATTATACCAAAGCGTCTTCAGAAGTGTACCATTTGCGACCCAACTATTACACTAGTATAAGTATGCTATTTTTACATTCTGAAGTTCAAATTATTATTATATAATATAAAAACCCTTAACAATGTTAAAAGATTTTTCAAAAATTCAATATATAAATTATATGAAATTTTATTAGACCATTATTACAAAATGAGTAAGCATAATGTTTATCTTATTTATCTTATTTATCTTATAAAGTATATTTATATTCTGTAAGTATTTCTATCATATTTTTTATCTTATCTTAATCGAATATAGAGTAAATATCAGACATAATAATATTCATGCGAGTAAAACTATTCTAGTATTAGAACAAATTAGCTATATATTTTACTTATAATTTTAGATCGATCTAATTTATATTACTATTCTCTATTATTACTACCTACTTATATCCATTTACAGTTGATATCCATTTGTGAGAATTTTTTATCAAGAGGATTGCTACTTAATACTTATTTATCATTTTTATCAAATCAAGTAAGATAATCCTGATATAAAGTAGCGCAATATATTTATTTGTAAAGAATGTCCTTAGGCCATAATGAAACATAATCTATTATGAACTGTTTAGCATTAGAATAAGGTATTTCGTTAGAGCTTACTATCTTATTTTGTTTTCCATTTTTCTGATAGCTAATTGCATTTTTAATTCTAGTATTTTCATTTCTAAGCTCATTAACTTCTTCTCTTAATAAATCAATCTCTAATTCATATTTAAAATCTTGTGAGTCAGTGTGAATTCACATTGTAAATTAGTATTTTACCATCTCAAAGAATAATTTTCAAAATCCATTATTGTATACACTATGGATGAGAGACAAAACCTTTAATAACAGTTGAAACTTAGACGAAACTATATTAAAATCATAATAAGGGATACGACAAAACCCATTCAATACGATGAAAGCTGAAACTGTTAAAACCATATTAAAAACATAGAAAAAGATATGACGAAATTATTTTGAAGAGGTTTCGGCAGGTATCTATAGTATATACTTTAGGATAATTATTTTTTATATATCTTTATTAATAAATATATCACATCTTGTCCTATAAAAAATCGTCAAAGAAGGTACCAAAAGTACTTTGTTAAGTTTTTTTGCTGTCCCTAAAAAAATGCAGGAAAATTTTTCTAAGGATGCTTCTAAAAACAACTATGATATCGATTTTTGAGTTTTTAAATTTATTGATTGTGTTCTTCTATCTACAGTCAACCCTTATTATAGTGAACTCTTGTTATAACGAATATTTTGAACAAATATAATAAAAATACTCTTGTTATAGCGAATTGGCCAATCAAAT